TCTCGCCGTGCCGCAACAGGTGTATTGGACGACCTTTTGACCTTTTGACATTCGTTTGCCGACGGGCCAATCCGGCCACCTGTCAGTCATCTTTGCAGGCTGCAGCGTTCTATGGAGAAAGGAGAAAGTGCAACCGTGGATTGGGGATTATTTATTGTTTTTGATGACTCAACATTTTACACCTCATGCAGAAACCTACATGTTTCAATGAATTTGGCAACCCGACTAACGGTAAAAGATGGTTACCGGAGCAAGCAGACACGACAGAGGCCGAAGAAAGTTAGAAGAAACGGGAGAAAGAAAGAAGCAGCTTGACCACGTTGGATGGAGCCAGACGGCAAAGTTCACCTTTTATGTGGGAAAACGACACGCGCTAATTCTACTTCAGCCTACGCAAAACATGACACAACTGGATCGCAGCACCGCCCATCGGCTCCGTCACCACCCACCCACAGACGGGCGCGTTTCTCACAACCCGGTTTGTGCGTTTTTCACTGTTGGACGTGAAGGTTTGTTAATTCTGTCTTTTAAGGAATGAACAACTATGTGCAGCAGAATGAGAAATTAATGCACTGCAGCTACGTGCTCGGCTCATTTTGCACCCACGCGTTGCGGTGAGTCATTGCGGCCTTGCCGTCCCCGCTGGTTTCCGAAGCTGCCGTTCGTTTATCTCTCAGCCTCCTATTATTATTCTCTTAAAAGAACCCTGCTGTACTAGCAGGAGTAAATGGCTCTTCATCCTCCAGCTCTCCGCCCTCCTCTGCGTTTGCCTCCTAACCCGGCATTAAACCACCCACTCCCTCTCCCCGGGCCTCCGTCAGAGATGCAGCGCCGCCAACCGCCCGCCCACGCCGCTCTCCGAAATACCTGCTGCAAACCCCGCGGGAGATCCGCGCCGCGTGGGTTTTCTGTCCCTCTGCGCACGTGGTCTCGGTGCGCCGCCCTCGGTAGCGTACCGGCGCCGTGACCTCAGAGCGCCCCCCCCTCCCCCCCCGCAGCAGAGACGCCGTGTGGTTCGGTCGGATTTTAACGAGCCAAGTGTTTACCCAAAGTGCAGCCGAGGGTTTGGGTCAGCGTTCTGAGTGGCGCTGTAAGGTAAATACCACATGTTGTGGTACCGGGGTGTAATTATGGGGCCGCGGGGACCCGTGGACTGTGATGATTGTACTCTTGCTCGCGACCAATATGTCAGCTCTAGTTCCCCGGCCTGATTGCAATGTATATCTGCGTGTGTGTGTAATTATTGTGGAAGGAGAGCGAGAGAAGTTTGATATTCCCCCTTTTTGGTGACTCCATCCGCCTCCGCTGGTATGGAGGATTTGTGTTTACCTCTGTTGTCGTGTGTTGCCGTGGAAACATCCATCGAACGGCTGCTGTTATCGGCGGTAATGAGCAGAGGATGTTGGACCCGATTCCCGGCCATGTCGATGAGTCAGGGCGAAGGTCCGCGCCAGGTCCTCCAGCCTCCCCCTTCGGGTTCCCGCGTCCTCGCCGGTGGGTGCAGGGTGACTAACCGGAGGATCCTGCCGCAACGTGTCCGAGGAGGCGAGCGATGCCCCCGAATGGTGGGAAGTTGAATTTGTCACCACCGACGTCAGACAGTTGGCGCCTGATGCCAAAACAGCAGATGTTTCTGATCGTGTTCCAGGTGTTTGGAACTTACCGTGGACGCTGAACAATACACCTGAGTGTTTGGACGCTGATGCAATATTATTAAGGAAATGAGGCGGATGTAGTTTTGTTTTAAGGATGCGGAAATATTTGTCTCTCTTCGTTCCCTCGCGCTGCTCTGAGCGGAAATCCCTTTAGCTGCACTTTTACTTTCCATCACTGGAAGCGAGTCCGTCGAACCCAAAAAATGTTGATGGCAGAGGAAGAGAATTTGCTTTTCGACCAAAATTGAGAATAGATCGGCGGCCAAGAGAAGCAAATATTTCTCCCCCTGTGTCATAAGAATGCGATGTCTCGCTGCGCAGTGGGCAGCAGTGGAGGAGACGCTAATCACGTCCTCTAAACACACAGTGACGAACGCCGTCGTAATGACACACGCCATCTGGACGCCGATCACAAGACGGAAGAATAATATACGGCGAGGAGAGCTGGAAGTAAACTATGCTGTGGATCCTTACTGGGAATATTCCAGTCCAGAGATCTGATTTTCTTATTGTTAATTGGAGCACTTGATAAAAAATGGAGTATTTAGGTGTGAGGCAAGTTTTCTGATTAATAGATGAGTTTATGTGTTTTATGTTTTGACTGGTACCGTATGACAGCTAAATGCATATTTAGCTGCTTCTTTCTTTGAATCTTTTCTATATAAATATCTTCCTGTCAACGCAAGAGAAACTAAGCGTCTGAAAGGATTTGTCTCCCCCCCTCGAGACCCCGTGTCCCCCATCCAGACACCATTCATATTATAGCCTGAGCAACTTCAGACGCCACAATAAGTTTATGCCGGTTTCCTAATTCCCAACATTTTGTTCGGGCCTCTCGTCTCCCGCTCGCTTCCTCGCGGAGAGTCGGAGCGGCTCCGCGGACCCGAGCCCACATTGTGTGAACCGCCGCCGCCCCACAAAGGAGCCCATCGTGGCCCCGGGCAGAGGGGGACCCGGTCCGGGCTAGGTGACTGGAGAGGTGTGGGTTCATGGGGGATGTGGGGGGGGTTGCAGAGCTGACACGCTGCTTGGGAGGGAGGAGGGAGGAGGGGGGTCACACGTGCCGCTTTTACACTTAGCT